AGTTGACTTGGAGTCAACTTTTCATAAGAATCGTTTGCAACGCAACGTATGCGAGTTCATTCAACAAAGAGTCACTAAATTGCGGTTTCCTGTCAAATAGTGGAAAATCGACGTATCACATGAAAATTCAATACGTCGGTTTCCTGTCCAAAACTGTTTTTCGACGATTTTAGTTTACGTTACGTCGATTTCACAACGCATCAGTCGTTATCGGTTTCCTGTCAAATCGCATTTTCTTACGATAAAACGACGTAATCGTAAGTAAATCTGCCTTCTTACGTCGACAGGAAACCAGGCTTAAGACATTTGATTTTATCTTGTCACTACGAATTTATTCTTCCATGTTCATGGCAACAACATGAGTTTGGCCTGGTTATAACTCTGGGCGGCGCACAGTGGGCCAAAATCAATTCAAAGTGTGCCAAAAGTCGAAAATAGGTAATGTGACAACTTCAACTTTCAAAGGTTGTTTGAGGTCGAGAACATCCTAAATTATATTAATCCACCAATAATTTCATATTTAGTGAATTTTCATAGTGTGATATAACCATGTAAACATGAAAAGGTTGTATTTTAGTCGTAATATGATAAAATTGACAGTTTTGAAAAACTCCCTATGACTTTACTTAGATGAAAGCAGTCAACTTGATACGTCTTGCAGTATTTGCCTATTGTTAACTAAATTAAATAGTAAAATAAAAAATGACATTATTGGTATATTTTTAGAATAAAGGACATTAAATATGAGCCAAAAACGCTTAAAAACATTTTTTTTCATAAAACCAACTTAAAAGTTAGAATTGCCGGCGATTTTCGTCATGCTTTTGACATCAAAATTTCTGGCAGAGCCCAAACTTTACGTTAATGCCAAGTTTAGCTGCCAATATCTGCCACCCTGCAGTTAGCAAGCGATTTAATATACCCCCCCCCCCCTACAGAAGCGCCACTTTTTAATTAAGGTATACGATAAAATCATTGCCATTGGGTGCCAAATGTAAAAACAAGTACACTCGATTTCCAGTGTCATATCTGAAGGAGTGAATTGGGGAGGGAGATCATTGGTGGATCTGGAGGGGTCAAAATTTTCCAGGGGCTAACATGATTTCACCTCTCCCCTGTTCCTTCTTAGGGTTCATTGATTCATTAAAAAACGTCAAGAGAGGGAAACCAAAATTTCAGAAGTTGAGAAAACCCGTTTCCCGACATATAGGAATCAACATGTTCCCACCACCGTCCTATTTGGGGTTCATCGGTTCATGGAAAACGAAATAGGCCTACGCATGCAACTACTCTTTTTTTTATACACACATAGGCCTTTATACTGTAATAAGAATGATAAAGTTGACATGACTGTTTTCAAGGGAGGGAAAATCTTGAACTTTAAAAAACTTAAATGTCATTAAAATACACCTCAAATGTCGGGAAATCACATTTCTCGCCATTTAGGAAACAACATTTTTCCGGAGAGGACCTCGACCCCCTTTCATTTTGAGGTCAATTATTCTAGGAATCATTTTTTTCCGACACTTTCTCTTTTGTTTTTTGTTTTTATTTATTTTTTTTAAACATTTGACTCCATCCTAAATCTGAAGCCAAATGGCCTCTGGAGATTCTTTTTTTCATTTATTTATTTAGCATCCATTCAAGTACAACAATTATTGCTCACGCAAATTATAGCGATATTAGGTAAATTCTCTGTTTGACCGTGATCTTTTGTGCTTATTTTCACTGGTGAGGGCTGACTGATGGGGTGGACGCGGACTAAGGGGGTACTGCAGGTGTCTTCTTAACACTCCACCTTCCACCCATTTCTTTGAAGAAATGTATTTTAATAATGTCACATAAAGTGTAAAATGTTCTAATTTGAATTTGCCGGTCTAGAAACCCTAATTCGTGTCATACTGAGCTCTGGCAAGTTATTCTGTCTAGATCTTAAATTTTACGTCGTCAAATAAAAAGAAAATACTTTAATGACGTCATACATATTTAAATATGCTTGCATTGAAATCTACAGGTTAGAAACCCCCTCATATGTTCTAATAACCAAGGTAATATGAATCTGCCTAGGTATTACAATGAATATTTTACTCATCTAATCAAAAAACAGTAATTTGATGACGTCATACATATTTAAAAATAGTTTAATTGAATTCAGCAGGTTTGAAAACCCCTAAAACAGTCTTAACATGAACATAATCAGTATTTTCTTATGAGTATTGACTTTTGGCACACTTTGAAACAATTCTGGCCCACTGTGCGGCGTAGCCACAACACTGATTGCTATACTGATTGTTGTTGCCATCTTAAAAATGGGTGTTTCACTTTGTATTTAAAAAAAAACCCTTTTACAGTACTTTCAAATAGGTTTTGTGCCCTTTGTTAAATCTTGTATGTCGTTTACAGGGAATGCTGACTTCTGTAAAGATGATTATGGCAACATTGAGAAGACATGTCCAGATAGTTTAAGTTTTTCAGAAACTTATTGTTGCGGGTCACCTGGCTCCTACTACTGTTGTGATTCTAATGATTATGACCAGTATAATGAAGTAGAGTAAGTTACTATTGACTAAGTACTCTATAGGGGCACTGGTTAAATAGTGTTATACTTTTACAAAATTTAAAGAGTGACAATAATGTAATCTTAATTTTATTGTATACCATAGTTCTTCAGGTATAAGCCCACCTTAGATATACAGTATAAACCCAACCCCTACATTACACCCAATTCTACATACAAGCCTTTCCTCAGGCAAAAGCCAAAAGTATGATTTGAATGAGTAGCCAAGTTGACTTTTAATTTAAACAAATATTTGATTTGAATTAGGCATGCAGTGCTGAAAAATTGCGTTTTGAATGAAAAGGGGATTCCCCAGGGCTAACATCTTGTGTGAGGAATATAAAATTATGAATTATAAGCCCACCCCCAAAAATAGATTTGTTATAAACCAAAATAATAGCAATGCACCAATTACAGCATGGTAGTGTATGAACAAAGGTATATGTAAAATTCAAAAGTATGAGAAGAAGCAATTTAACTAAGATTAATTAAGATTGGTTTTTAAGTTGCTGATTATTGATGTATTACAATAACAAATTTTATAATAAGATGTGGAAAGTTGGTGATATTGCATAAGGCAGTTGGGAAGAATTGTCACTGATAAAATCTTGGAAACCTAAAGTAACTCCAAATGCGAACAAGAGTATGATTTCAAAAAGTTACCCTTCTTCCCAGTCCACATTAATTGAATGTGAGCATGTCCTAACTTAAAAGGCATTTTTCCTTCAGGCATTTTTTCCCCAGGGAATAATGGTTCTTTAGACTTGTTTCCCACTAGTGCCCCCCAGAACTTGAGTATAATTGCATATTATTTTTTAAATTAATTTTCTTTATGTATTTACTATTTTTTTCTTAGTGCAATCAGCACTGTGATCATTATCGTCATTGTTGTTGGTACCGTTGGTGGCATCATAGCATGTTGTGTCTGCTGTTGTCTGTGTTGCGCTAGATCTCGCCCGGTGACAACATACATCACAACGCGTAAGTAAGAAAGTGGGCTAAAAGAAAGAGAATCTAACCCTGACAAAAAAAAACCCACAAAGCAAAAACAAACTGCTAACAAACTGACCTTGATTTCCAAACATCAAGGTGCTGGGCAACACAACCATTTTTAATTTTTTATTTCTTTATTTGTTATTTAGTACTTAAAATATATAGCGCCTTCTTTTAGGTTACTAAACGCTTTGTTTCCCCTGGTCATTTGGTCTACATTGTTATGTGTTGCTACCATATTGGTGCAGTAGCAGGCAACAACACCAGGTACCCATTTATACTGGGTGGAGAGAAGTAACTCAGACAATGTACCTTGCTCAAGGACACAAGTGAAGTGCACAGTGATGGATTGAAACCCCAACCTCAAGGTTGGGAAAACCAAATGGTTCACGCTGTGCCAAACCGCTTCCTTATGATACCAAAGATTACAATCTATTTTTGTAAATACTGAAGTAACATAACTCATTTTCTCTTTCAGAGCCAGCACAGGGCCAAACTCTTATTCAGCAAGAACAATATTACGCTCCCCCCGGTGGTGCTTATCCTTCCCCTGCTGGAGGCGAGAAGGCCCCAAATTACCCTGTTTAATTTTTATAATTATGAAGAAACAGGTCACTTCTCGAATCTGTTATTAATCAAGTAATGAGTTAAAATAAAAATGATTGAAAACTCAATAATTTCTGCTCTTCCATTTTTTACCATAACACGTTGTGATCGTCGTCCATACTTTGGCATTTACACACAATGTATATTCTTTTTAAGAGCTTAGATTTTTATTTTGAAAATGCATTTATAATTGTTAGCTTTCTATCGTTGGCATACAGTAGGATACTTTTGCTGTGAGTTGATATTAATGATCTGCCATACAGTATTTTAATCATATTCCAGTATTTTAAAAATATGTATTATATATTGTTATGGTTTATAATAACATTATCATTATTTTTATTGCTACAGTACATGTATTTTTTATTGTTATGGTTTTGAAAGGTAGCTTCCAATTTTCGTTTACTCTATTGGATTATCTTTGGAAGAATATGTACCTATGTATCGTAATGTTGTGTTATCGTTATTATATTATGCTAAGTATTATTGTTAATTATTTTATTATTATTACAGTATTATTATCATTGTATTAATAGTTGTTAGCTATAGTTGCTTTTTTGTTTGCATTTATAAAAAGAAATGATCATCATTTCAGATAATAATTGATAGCTTGCAATGTTTAACCATATTATAAATTCAGAAAAAAATTGGTGATAGTGAAATAGTGATTTAAGAAGAAATAAATGGGGGGGATTGACGAATGAATAATGCATTATGTTTACAATATTTTTGTTGTTTAAAATATTTTATGTTTTGGTTGAATTTTTTTTCAAGAATAATTAATGTTGACATGGGCCAGTAGTAGTAGTACCAACAGTGGTCCAACAAGCCAGACAGAGGGGGTCTGAACCAAAAGGCCAACTATAGCCATGGTTAGGGTTCTGGAATAAAATTCCTTTTTGGAGTCATTGGGTGGGGCAGAGAGGAGTTATGGCTTAGTATGGCCCAAGAAGTGCCTCTGTTGCCAAACTTCTGGTTCTGCCACTATTACAGGTGTAATGTGGCATTTCGTTGTGTAGACACACTTGTATGAGTTTGATTGTGTAATTGTTTACATAGATTTTTAGTTCAGTATTTTGCCAACCTAGTATTATAGGCTGTTCCTAACAGTTGTTTCTAATTGTTGCTTATTATAATGTTGTTTTTGCGAATAAAAGACAAAAGTGAAGCTTTTAGTTAACTAAAGTCAAAAGGGCAAAATGTGCCGTTGAACATGTTATAGAAGGGGTGCATTATATATATTTCTTAGTAAGCCTACAATATTTTAATATATATATTATACACTGATCAATTTAAGGGGTATGCTTGACACGATCATAACTGAAAATGATATACTTGCATGCAGTTGTGGCGCCAGAAGTTTGCCGACAAGGCGTCCATCGTGCCCGATGGATGGGTCTGAACCAAGGTGACAAGGCCGCGGCTGACGGCTCGGGAAGTGTTTTTATGGCTTAATTTGGTCCTAAATGTGCTTTCAGATTGGGATTGGCAATCAGAATAGTGTTATTTGGATAGGAAAATTACAATTTTTTAAAATTTTTGGTCTGATGACAGGGGGTCCAGGCCTGTCCAACAGGCATCTGCCCACCTAAACTCCCCCCCCCCCAACCCGCTGGCACCACCACTGCTAGGCCTCTCGTCGAAGAGTTTCCCTCACTAATATGCAATATTTCATTATTGAAGATTAAAATCAATTTGATGATGTTGATAGGAATGGTGATTGCTCTACCTCATACTTCATCATATATAACTTTTATTTCCATCAAATGGAGACATCACCAAAAAAGCAGCATTCTTGTGACAGGGGTGCCATTTGACAAATAACAATCTAAATGAAACAAAAGGAAGTAACTTGCATACCGAAAAAAAAAGGAAAAGAAAAGCTACCTATATTATTGGTCACGAAATGAAATCATAGCTTTAAGTATTACTTGAAAGTAAATAATATTTAACAGATTTCTTAAATATGATTGCATTTTTCGTATTTTGAAACTAGTCGGGCAAATCGTTCCAGTATCTAGCACCAGAGTAGCGAATGCTTTGCTGGAATATACTGGTCCTGTGTTTCGGAAGGTGAATGTATGATGATGACCTTGTGGTATCCTCCCAGTTGGTCGAAACCCGGTTTGCTGAATTTAACCCACTTTGCCGAAAACCCAGTTTGCCGAATCCAGTTCACTGAACACATCAAATCCCAGTTGAATTTTGTCGCAGCACGCTACTATTTTGAAATAAAACGTAATAAACAGCAATTATGTAGGCGAAATCGAATGTAAACTCAGACTTAACTATTTTGAACTAAATGTAATAACGGTAATTATTGTAAGCGAAACCGAAAGTAAACTCAGATTTGACAACCACTAAAAAAAATAGTTAAGACCATCAAAAGGGCTTCCTGTTGCTCACCACTTTAATTTACCGAGCCATACTATCAGTGATTTAGGCTTTATAATCTTGGGCACCAATTTCAAATCTACTGTAGGCATACTAAGGCTAGAGGACTGGGCGGATACCCTCAGGACATCTTCTAGATAGTAGATCTGAAATTGGTGCCCAAAATTAACTAGCCTAAATCACTGAGAGGGTCGTATACAACCAGACAATGTCATTTTTATTTAAACATAATGTACAGAATGGTTTTAGGAACGGTCATTCAACAGAGCATACGCTCCTTTTAACACCAGAGAAACTTACAAAGGGAATGGACAACAAAATGTTTGTCATTGAAGTTTTTTTAGATTTATCTAAGGCGTTTAATTCCATTTCTCATAATATATTACTTAATAAACTATTATGGCATAATATTCGTTGTCTTAAACTAGTTTGTAAACTATCTAAGCCACATAAAACAATATTTTAAAGAGATTCAACACTTGGATTGCCCCAAGGGTCATTTTAGTGCCACTGCTTTTCCTGTCAGGGACGTATCCAGGTGGGGAGCCGTGGGAGCCGCGGCTTCCCCCCTTTGTACACAGTGTTAAAATTTTAAAGCTTATTCTTGAGCCAATACAAATTCTTTCCTGGGATCACTCAAAATGAATACTTCTAAACATGTAAATATGCATCAGTAACCGTTATACGTAGGCCTAATAGAACACAGGCCTAAGCGTGATTTACAAAAATCTTAAATCCATAAATATCAGGCCAGGTTTTTTAAGATAGAAATGCGATACTGTGGTTCAATTTCGTTTTTATCCTTTTGCAAGTTTCTTTAAATGTTTGTTTAATAATACTACTACTAATAGTAATAATAATAATAATAACGATGATGATGATGACGATAGTAATAATTGATATTAATATTAATAACGATAAAAAGTGAAGAAAATTGTGCTAAATGCGAAAAAAGTTGTGATTTGTTGATCATAATATAGTATATATAGTTAAAGTTTAGTAAGCTATAATTAGGCCTAAGTCGTCCTGGATATTAAGTAGATCCCTGATAAAAGATCATGAGAAATGTGTTGGCGTTTCATTTTGACTATAATGGTAATGTGATGATGATGAATTTTACTATATAAAAGTGTCATTTTCGGCCATCTCGAGAGGTACTATTTCCTCAAATTTGTGAAATCACGTTTTTGAAGTAGGCTTATGTAAAGTACATACTCAAAGACAATGTCTTTAAGCTTTGTTTTTTATGGGATACACACATACATTAATAAGATCTCTATGGTTGTCAAAAATCGCTGATAAAAGATCATGAGAATTTTTTTTGGCGCTTCATTTAGACTAATGGTGATGTGATGATGCTTAATTTTACTAAAAGTGTCATTTTTGGCCATCTAGAGGTACTATTTCCTCAAATTTTCTCACCTCGGCTCCAACCATTGTGGGGCTGAGGTGGGTGTCGACTCACAAAATGCCCTCCCCCTCCACCTTTCAAAACAGATCTGTGCCCTTCCCTGGGTATGACATTAAACTCCATCGAGTCGGCTCCTGATGTATGTCTTTGACTGCTGTTTGTTTTTAGGATGTTATCTGGTTTCTCATGTACATTTTTCGTAATTATGACTATTCTGGATAAAGAATGTTTTGAGCAGAGGTGGATTCAAGCCCCCCTCCCCACCCTTCATTTTTTTAAGGAAAAAAAAAAGAAAAAATATATTCAAATTGAAGTGCGAGAGTATAATTTCCGGCCATCTAGAGATGCCCTAATCATAAATTTTCTTACCTCAGCCGCAACCATGGTGGGGCTGAGGTGGGTGGTTCTTCGGTCTGTGAAAGTCCCTCCCTGCTTCACCTTTCTTTCGAATTTCTGGATCTGCCACTGTTGATTTTTATTATATAATTATTTTTGCGCTTATTTATAATGCGTCTATTGCAATTTTCACTTTATCCTCTCAAACAGTCCGAAGAACGTTCAGAGTGCGCTACTTCACAGGGGGATTCGCCACCCTTGACCCCGCCGGGGTCATACGTAATTCGCATAACGGCTTCCCCCCCCCCTTTCAAAATCCTGGCTACGTCCCTGTTTCCTGTTATAAAATTAATGATTTGCCTTACATGTGTTCTTAATCAGAGGTGTTTATTTGATAGAAACCCACAATAAACGTCTATTAATAAGTCATCCGCCACCGGCCCTGATAATAACCAGTGGAATATTCATTAGAATAAACGATATATAAGCGATAACGCAAAAAATAATATTTTGGGGATTATATATAATAATAATAATAATAATAATAATAATAATAATAATAATAATAATAATAATAAAATGATAATAATATAATAATAAATAATAATAATAAATAATAATAATAAACAATAATAATAAATAATAATAATAAATAATAATAATAATAATAATACATAATAAATAATAATAGCTTTACCGCTCAGGGGTGGATTTATCAAACTTACTTTTAAAAAATCTGTCTAATCATTGTAATTATTATTAAGCCTAAGTTTTCCTGAGTTAATCTAGATCTCTATGTTTGCCGAAAATCCCTGATAAAGAGATCATGAGAAATTTGTTGACGCTTCATTTTGACTATATAATGGTGATGTCATGATTATTAATTTTACTATATAAAAGTCATTTCCGGTCATCTAGAGGTACTATTTCCTCGGTGAGGTGGTCCTGGACGCATAACTTTGAAGTATGTAAAGTAAATACATAAAAGACAATGTTTTTAAATTTTATTTTCTATGATACATCACACATTTTTCTGGGCAGGTAGCTGGGTTTGTATATTACTGGGAATTCTGACTCACGAAAGTAAACAATCACCACTAAGGTATCAACTTCAACGGTAAACAACTTTATTTCTTTTCGTAACTGGGCGAGTGCTATCGCCAGTTTTTCTCCCAAACAACTATTAGACGGCGCTATAACCCTTTCAGCGCTCTGTCCTGACTTTACACCCGCCCCCGAATTTCTTAGGGAAATTAGCGTTTAAGCAAGAAGTCTCTTTACGCGCCACAAACATATAGTGTACGCGCTTGATTGATTTTCCAACTTCTTTACGAGCTGCTACTGGTCGTCGACCAGCTTTATTTCCAACTCTTAGACGGCTGTCACTACTGGGATATATAGCAGAGATGATTCCAACAGGCCGCTGAGATCTTCATAAAACTGAGGGTCTAGCTGCCAACATAACTGTAAGATTTAGTATAATCTTAAATATTAATTAGTGCTCTTAAAGCGCCACCTATGTTTCTTGTGTAGCGCCCTCGCATACTGGAAACACAGCCAAGCTAGATGCAAGCTAGTGTAAGCATGTTTTGATTAGCTGCCCAGAAAACTGATTAAATAAGCTGAAATGATGGGTGATGTGATTCATATATTGTTTCATATACTGTAACTTTTACCGGCTGACCTGAATTTACCTATACCCGGCAAAGTAAATCGAACGAGATATTGAATAAACTTCATATCGAACTCAACCGTGGTGTATATACATTTTGTTATAACCTGTGAGTGCATTATCCCAACCTTTCTATACAATAACCACATCTGCCACTTCCACGTTTTTCAACTCCCTTGCGGCCATTTTGGCCTTTTCAGCAATGTTGGCAGAAAGGAACAAATGAATTGACGCCAAAATTGGTCTGCTAATATTTGGCTGTGGCGCCATTTCGACGTCCCTTCAGCTCTGACTCGTCTTATACGACCATTGGTAAGGCGGGATCCTGCTGCCACATCAAGAGTATATTGGGCGT